AAATTGAAATGCAAATTCTTATATGGTTTAGAAAGTAGCAAAATGTTTGTCATGGGAGGTCTAAACCTAATTTTTGCACTTGACCACAAAGCATTAATAAAAATATTCAATGATGGAGACCTAAATAAGAAAAAAAAACCTTGAATCCTTAATATCTGTACAAAAAATACTAATGTATAAAAGTCATTTTGATTCTTGTAAAATATAACCTGATCCTATGCATATGAACCACTAATAATAACGATAAACAACTCAAACAAAACAGTGACCTAGATCAATTTTATTCAACTATTTACATGAAAGACTGCAATGAGAGAAAACAAAAAAGGAAGATCTTTGACCAGGAACAAGTGCTCAAATACAAAACCACTGAGCTCAATGTCTTAGATGAAACAAAATTGCACCCTCAAATAACAAGCAACCAGGGTTGAAATTTGACTAGAGCTGTGGCTGAGTTTGATGAAATATAGCTGGGGCCGGGTTTTAGACCGGGAATAAACATTTATTCATCCTAAATTTTTTTTTAACAAAACTTATGTTATATTTGCATATATGTAAACATCATCATGATCATGATCATAATCATCAATACCATCATCAGTATTATCATGATCATCATCATTATCATGATCATTATCATCATCAGGATTAAGCCTTCATCATTTATGCTGTTACTCTAATATAACCAACCTAGACCATTTTCTTTTAATAACTAAAGCTCATTCATACAATATATAAGGCACTAATTTCAAGTTTTCTTACTTCTACCATTATCATTTTCTTGTGAAACTGCTACCTCTCTACATGCTGATACCTAAATCACTTTAATCTTTGCTAACAAATGTTTAAAGCAATATTTTTTTTTTAATCTGTCTAAGTCATGCCTTTTTTTCTTGCTTTGTTATGTCCATCAGATCATCTTTTCTTAAATGCCAGCATTTAAATAAATAGCAAACATTTATGTTCATATCCCCATTATGTATCCATAAATGCACATCTTAGAAGCCTTTATTCCTTCTGGAATAAAAATTTTGAAGCTTTTAGTCCTTCTCTTCAATTTTAAGTCAAGCCTCACTCTACCCTACATTTTTGTAGGGTAGAGTGAGGCTTCAGACAAGATTTTGATCATAGTCTTAAAAAAGTGTTCTCCAGAACTCTCCTCGATTTTCGTTAAACAATTAAAAAGTGCTAAATAAGTGGTTCCAAATTTTAAAAACTCTAGAAAATACTTTGACCTCTTTAACTATTCTATGATTAGTTTTCACTCTGTTAGTTTCTTTTCTTTTTAGTTTCTTTATATAAAGTTTTTGAGGTTATTAAATTATTTCTTTCTAACTGCAGTATTAAAGTTGTTCTTGAAGGCTTAAACTCTTCTTCGTTTCAAGTAACTTTAAAGGTACCACAAGATTCTATCTTTGCTCTATATTGTTCCTTACCTACAACAATCTTCATGAAAACTTTATATCTAGTGTCTTCTTTTGCTGGCGACTCAATTTAAACTCTTGTCTTAAAAAAAGTCTTTTTGATTGCTTAGAACAAGCAGCCAATTTTTAATCTGATCACTCATGTATAACAGCCTAAGGTTTGCAGTGGTTTGTGAATTTTAAGTCTGGACTTAAAATTCAAAAAATTTTGTTACACAACAAAAATCATTTATTTACTGAAAAAAATATTTTTAACATTCCTATAATGAAGAATAACAACCCTCTTACTCTTAGAAAAAAAGCACATTGTAAATGTAATTAGACCTACTTTATCTGCCAAGCTTGAGCCACTCTCCTATTGTTGTAAGGTTTTATTTCTTTCTTTTTCTACAAACAACCATGGTCAATGCTCAAACAAGCTATCATCTCTATTAAAATAAACCAAAACTCAATCTTACTTGCTTCTTATTCATTAAGTAGTTTTTTACTGTATCTGTCCCTTCAAGTTATAAAAACTTTTATTGATCCAGTTTTTTTCCTTGCACATCAAAAAACCTTATAACTCTTACCTATCTTCATGTTTGTTTTTTTAAAATATAATCTACAACTTTTTAAGTCTTTAGTTAACTGTTTCCTAGCTTTTTAAGCCTACCCTCTATTTTAAAAGTAGCTCATAACTTAATAGTGGTTGTTTGCAACCTTGTTCAAAGCAAATTAGAGTTTGAAAATATATAAATATATTCCATTATTTAATAAATAGTAAATGTATTTATAACATTATAATATATAAAGTATTACAATTGGTTATCAGCCCCTGCTAAATCTTATAATTTAGCCAGGGCATGGGTTTGCAAAAAGTCTCATTTTCAACCAGGGCCAGGGCCCTGGTCACTTACTATCCATAAATAAAGTGGCATAAAGAGTCACTTGCAGAACCAATATTACCGGAATATCTTTTTCAAAAAACAGTAGACATATTCCAAATGGCAGGTTGCAACTATATAGTATACACAGAAGTTGGACTGAAGTAGCATCAACCAAAACAAACTTTAAGAAATCTGTTATTTGTAACGCACTTGGGAAATATTTTGTTATTTTTATCTTGGTAACTCTAACATTTTTGTTAGAATTACCAAGGAAATATCAGGAGATGGATAGCTTAGTTGGTTAGAGCATTAAACAAATTGCAAAAACCTTGACTAATATGAGTTCAAATCCAGTCACTCAACACTTGAGTAGTACTTTGGTATTCAAAAATATTGTTTAATAATGGACACTACTTTAGATTTGTCTTTGTGACTATTTGTGTCTGTTCTTATGCAAGCCAAAAATATTTTCAGATATATATTTAAAAAAAGCATTGTATAACAAAATATAGCATTAAATTCAAATAAAAAGCTCTTACAAAATGAAATCCTTTTTAAATAATTAATAGTGCAAATTATTGCTTGTCATTGGCCTATTATCCACAAAGCAGAGGTTTCTGTCAAATTGATGAAAGGTTTATTCATAACAAATATTAGCCCAAGTGGATTGTTTAATAATAACAAACATATGAAAAGCACTATTGTTACACACAAATCACTATTAAATCACCTATTAAAACACATTCTATTAAATCCAGTTTAGAAAAGAATGATCTGAATTAGCCAATTTGCACTAAAAGAAATAATATGATATAATAATATTTAATGATTCATTAAAGCCTAAAAAACCCCAAGAACACCATCTTTTTACTATAGGTTTAAGTGTAGCAATTCAAAATCAGAAAGGCAACCTCCCTGTAAAATGCAAAATACAGGATAAATTATTGAAACCTTACTGCATCAACAATATTGAGTAAAAATAGATGAGAGCCGTAAACACACACTGTGAAATCAAATATATTTGAGAAATATTCCTATTGACAAGAAACTACATTATTCTGGCTCATATCTCTGAATATCCCAATAGAGTAGTCAGAAACTCTAGTCAAAAATGCACAAAACAGTATTCCATTGAAACCTCGAAAAATTTACAAAACAATATACCAATGAAATCTCCCTTAGCTTAGTTAAAGCACAACCAAGCAACTCATTTTCTCCACCAATAAAGTCTCCTGCAACTATAAATCTACCCACAAAAACCAAACAAATGTGAGAAGATCAATGAAAACAAGAAATTTTCCAGTCCGGTTAAAAGACTAAATTTTGTAAAAAAAAAAAGACTAGTATTCAGATATAAACCAGATAGTATGAAGTATTCAGCTATAAACCAGATAGTATGTAAAAACCTTTAAGTCTTGTATAAAAATATATTGGTAAAAATAATACCTTAATATTAGTTTAATATAAAGCAACTTTTTTAAAAAATGGTTTTTTTAAAAGTATGGGTTTTGCATTGATTACTGTTATTAGGGAAACTCTAAAAATTTTAACTCCAGTCCCTTTCATCACATCTGTTATCCAGCACTCTGCGTTATAATCTCATAAATGCAAAACCTTGATAAAATAGAATCAAATTTCTAATTGATTCTATTTTATGACATAGATTAGACCAAACATTTTATTTAACAGCAATAAATATATAGTATATTTTACAGCTTTACATTTTAAAGGGTTTTAATTAATTTTAAAATATTCTTAAAAACAAAAATGATCAAAATCTTTTTATTCTTTTTAAAGACTTGATTTTAAAGGAAAAAGACTGGGAAGGAAAAAAGAAGAGAAACTCATATTTAAACTCTATTTAACAGTAGAGAGATGTAATTCTAAATTATGGCTAAATTGAATTTCTTCTGATGGTCTCAGAAATTAAAATCAGTATTTATTACTCCTAGATATGTAGTGTGAATTTGAACCTGGAACCTCCTGACTGTTAAAAATTCTACCACTAGTCTACTACTTATTATGTTTTTTTGTTTCATTTTACTCATATAAACAATATCTCATATTCCTATAGCAAATATTTTTTGCACATAACTGCAGATTTTGTGAACTTATAAACACTTTTTATGCACAAGTAACAGATTTAAGGATTTAAAATTATATATAATTAAGGATTTTATATTAATTATAATTTAAATATGTAATTACTACATATTTATATTATACATAAATTTCAATTTCAGGTTTTTTCATTTGTTATTCAAAATTTCAGGTTCAAAGTGTCAAGAGTTAAAAACTTTGCAAGGATTTTAATGACACTTAAATAAAATTACAAAAAAAATGTTTGATGTTTATTTAAAAGTGTTCACCAAATAAGTTTTAAAATTATTTAAAAGTTGTCACCAAGACCTCTTAATTATCAAATTATATTATGGAAATGTGCTGAAACATGACAAAGCAGACTTTAAATCAAAATTCTTAATAAAATACCATTTTAAAAATGAAAGATTATTATTTAAATCAAAGCAAGTCATGCTTTACATTGTTAAATAAATAAATTGTTTTTTAAATATATACTGTGGTAACAACCTTTTATTTGCTTTAAATAAAGCCTCTTAAGTGACAAAAATAAAAAAAAATAAAGTCGTTAAGAACATGATTAAATAGTTTCAAAGATTTCACCAGAATTCAAGAAGAATATATTATTTACCATCTCGTTGCTCAAAATAAAGTTTGCTTTTTCAGCTTCATAGCAAAAAATTTTGTTTGCGTCTTGGATTTCATTTTTAATTGAGCAAAGACCTGCCAGTTTTTTCACCTTTTTAACAATTGGTACATCTAAATACTAAAACATATGTAAAATGATATTAATAATATTTTTATAATTTGTTTTTATCTAAAAATTTAAATAATCATCAGAAAAGTTACTTTTCAACTGTGCTAGTTTGAAAATCTTACCTTTTTTTTTGTATGTTGTTTTTGTACGTTATTTTTGAATGTTGTTTTTGTACGTTATTTTTATACATTGTTTTTGTATATTATTTTTGTATGTTGTTTTTGTATGTTATTTTTGTACTATATTGTTTGTTAAGCATTGCGTATAGTATTTTCTTTTTCTAATTATTAAACAAAGTCACTGAACAATGAATAAAAAAATCTTACAATAAAAATAAAAAATCTTATTTGTTTAAGTAATTTAATTTTATATTTGATAATTAATTTAAATGAGTACCGATTTGTTGAATCCAGAACTAATTTTATTAATTTCTGCCATTCCTATTCCACGTTGAATAGCCATTTTGATTAGCTTTGAAACGTTATCATTGTGCATAAACTGGCTCACACTCAAAACATTTAACTCTCGAAGCTGTAAAAAAAAAAAGAATGACATATTTTAACAAAAAAAGACCATTACATTCTTACACTTAAAAAAAGTTTCATGGCTTGTGCCCATGCCCACTACAATGACTCGATTTAATTTTGGAACATGATTTAAGGTTACACATAACTAAAAAGGTTTGACATTTTTTAGGTACTTAAATATCTTTATAATGATTTTTTTGTGGGTTTTATTCATAGCATATATATTTCTATTTTAGAATATATTTATATATAGAATATATTTATATTTTATAAATGTTAAGTTATAATTATTCAAGTTTTAAAACTTTAAAACAAATATTTAATGTTTTGAGCAATCTTCTTAAGTTTTTCAAATTAAAATTAAGTTGCTTCTCTTTTTTGAGTGAAATTGTAGAGCAATTCACTCAAAAAAGAGAATCAATTTAATTTTAATTTGAACAAATTAAAATTGGAATGAATTTGATACTTTGATATATTTTTAAATACAGTTTAAAAAAGTTTAAACAATTATTTACACTTTTATCTTCTTTTATATATTTATTTTCATTTTTAAATTATAAATGTAAAAAAAATATACTTAATAGTATTAAATTTTTGACAAAACTTTTTTGACGGTTTCCACTATCCTCTCGTAACTTTTTAAATAGCTGGATTGACTTTTTAATTGATGACTATTGATAAAAGCACTATATATTGTATAAAATTTTTTTGAATATTTAAGTTTTTAAATACTATACTATTTTAAAACTAATAGTTTTAAAATACAGTTAATTCGCATTACCTCCTTCCCAACTTCCTTCGATTACTATTAACTATTTTAGAATTAATTAAATAAGCAACAAAGACATTCAAGGGGCAGAGTAAGATTCGTTCACCACATGATGTAAAAAAAAATTTTTTTTTAAATTTACAAATACAAAATTTAATTTTTAAGTTTGTATTTGTAAATTAAAAAAAAAAAATTATTGTATATATATATATATATATATATATATATATATATATATATATATATATATATATATATATATATATATATATATATATATATATATATATATATATATATATATATATATATATATATATATATATATATGTATATATATATATATATATATATATATATATATATATATATATATATATATATATATATATATATATATATATATATATATATATATATATATATATATATATATATATTATATTATTGTTTTTTTTTAATTTTACTTATGCATTTGTAAATAAAATTAAAAAATATAATATAACATAAAAAATATAATAAAAATTTATGTATATTTAATTATCTTCTTTATTATTTTACGCAAATATAATATAAATGAAAAATTTCATTGCAAGTTTCATTTTTGATTTTGTTGTTGTTGTTATTTCCAGTATACTTTACCAGCAAACTTAGTTTATCGAAAGTACTTTCCTTTAATAAAAAAGCGCTACTAACTTATTTAAAAGTATATTATTTACTATTCATAAATATGCAAAAGTTTTTTGTAACTTTCCTAACTTAAGATAAACAGTAAAAATGTAAATAATGAGTTTTTGAATGCTAAGAATAAATTAAAAAAATAATTTATTGAACATATTACAAAATACCAACTAAAAATTTTTTTTTACTTTCAAATGAGTGATCTTGCTTGCTAATGCCAACACACTTTTTCACATTGAAAAAAAATTGATCTAGTTAAATATTAACTTTGTCATGCGTACTAATTATGTTTTCAACTGGTGTCTAGCGTAACACCTTAAATATCACCCAAATATAAGATTTCTCTTTTTAGTATGATTTTTTGAACTTTTGGAAATTTTAAACCAATAGAGAATTATTCATGATGCAATTAGGCTGGCTAATACCCTGTCCTTATAGTTTAAAAATAAAGTTATAAGTTGTCTTATAGTCATAACTTTACAATGTTAAAACAACTGAAAAAATAAAATTACCTGATCTTTTTTTAGTTGGTAACGACAGCTTCCAAAAAGAGTTGTAACAATGATTTCAGTTCCATGGTCTGACAAGTTGATATCATCATTAATGTCCAAGTTCTGGTCTAAGTGGACAACGTCTATAGAATCATCAACTGTTATGCTCATTCGGATTTTGTCAACATTATTTCCGAATGGAAAACCAAGATTAAAATTACATTTTTCAATAACAATGCAGTCAAGATTAATACCAGTTAGTCGAAGTCTTAAAAGGTTGTTTTTTTCTGGAAAAGTGAAACTTCATTTAGACAAAAACTATATTAAATCAGACACCACGGATAATTCACTCAACATGTCTGACTGACAACATAATATCTCAACATATCTGACCTCAACACTTAGTTAAATCAGTTTCACAACTTAATTTAGGTAATATTCCGATCAAAATTTGTTTTTTTATAACTTTTTGTAAATCTCCTAATTTCAATAAAATACCTGAAAATAACTTAGTCAGTAGAGCTTCATCAATCTTTGGAAGATAAGGATTTATTAACTTGATAGTTCGCCCCTCAAAAAAACTATCTTGGCCAATACCACATTGTAGAACAACTGAAAAAGGACTGCTTGGAATTCCCCAGATTTTTAGTGTTTCCTCATAATTTTCAAGATTATGAGCAATGATATTCTAATTTAGAACTTTTCAAGATTATTAAACTTGCAAATTTTAAAGTCAAGTTTAGTCAACTGTAAAATTTTATAATAAATTATAAATAAATTATAAATCTATAAATTAATTTTATTTTACTAAGCTTTCAATTTTAAACTTTTTCTTCTTATAATTTATAATTTTATAGAATTCAATATTTTACTTAATTGATACCTGATCAAAGCAAAGTTTTTTGGAGAACTCCATGTGTTCTTGAATCAGTGTTAATTTGTTGAACGGAGCCTTGACAGACTCGTTTTTTGAGTCACTAAGAAACAAAAAGTTTCCAATTTCCATGTAAAGATTATTAGTTTCATCTTTGCGGAAAGATTCCATGCTTTGAATTGATGCAATAATATCCTGAATAATAATTGTTAATTTCTATTAAAGTTAATGTTCAGCTATAGTTCATTTATTATGGCCGTTTAACAGTTTACCTAAAAAATGCTCAACTAAACGAGCTTAAGAACATTATAATATAAAATTATAATAACTCTCAATAATCAAGTAAGTTACTTTAGGTTAGTAATATGTCTTGTATACAATAAAAATTACCTTTCCCATACTAGCAATGTTACGAAGTTGAGAATCTTTAGGAGTCACACAGCAAGCAAAGTTCAGTGTCATTTCAAGAATTGGAGCAACTTTACCTAACATCTCAACATAGTCTGATTTTTGTTTAATCAAATCATTTTTTTTTTTATCAAAGTGTTCAGAACTTTCTTTGCTTAAGCATTGAACAAGAGCTGCAACCTTAAAAAAAAATACATAAACATTGAAACAGATACATAAACAGTGAAAGCAGCTTAATTGAATAACATAACAGTAAACAGACTGACAATATTATCAATGAAACAACCTTTAAACTTATTTTGAATTCATGTTGCATTAAAAATATTTAGCACAGGTTTTTAAGGTTTTAAAAAAAATATTTGTCACAAGATTAAACAATGAAATTGATTAGTAGATAATCATATTTTATTTATTCAATTTTTATTTTCAATCATAAGTATAAAATTTGGATAATTTTTTACCTAATTTTGTGCAGTATAAAACTGCAACTTCGGTATTGTGTATATAATTCAGTACTGTGTATAAGCTGTTAAGTGAAGACTACCTTTACTAAAAAGTTATTTAACATTTTAAAATTCAATTAACAAAAAAGTACTTGTTCATTGATTTTTTTTGACATTGCTTCAAGACATATTCCATAGGATAGTAGTCTTGGGATTGGATCCATAAAATTGACAGAATGATACAGATACTTGGAGATACCATTCTTGTCACAAAACTAAAAAACTATTTTCTTTTGAAAACTTAAATTACTTTAAACTTAATACTAAAATTTAAGATTTTTTTAGTTGAAAAGAATGTCAGAAAAAATTATAGGTATTTCAAATTAACTTTTTTTCACCTGTTTTAGTTTCAAGTCTCCTACCAGAGGTGCTCCAAATGTAAAACATGTAATTTGCCTATTCTTGTCACTTTTACCTACCAAAGAACAAGTTTTAAATTTTATTTGAACTTAATAACAAATAATATTTAACATAACTAATTTATCTGAGATCAAAAATTATTTAAAAATAATATAATTTCCAAAATTGACAATTTGCAGTAAATTGTAACCTGTTGCTTTTCTTTTCTTTTCCTCTTCAACTATTGCAAAGATTGCCACAATTGTTGCAACAGCTCCACCCATAGAGTGACCACAAAAGACAAAACTTTTTTCTGCAAAATCTTTATTATTAAGAACTTTCTGAAGTGGAAACTTTTTTGCTCGATTAAGAAATCCAGCATGAAATTTTCCAGTGGAGATAGTGCTTGAAATGTTTGGACACTTGAAAGCTTTCATACATTCTTTCCAGTCACTTATCGATTGAGATCCTCTGAAAGAAATGTAAACCCTATTACTTATAAGTTCTTCAGCCACAATAAATGGACATGAATCATCCTATATAAATAAAATAAAAAATTTAATTTAAACATGTAAATTTTAAATAACTATAAACTTAAAATAACTATAAATTTTGTTCAATTAATTATAATTAATTAAATACACATTTCATAAAAGAATTCTTTAAGTATGACACAAAAAGTATAGCTTGTTTTTTTTGTTTTTTGTAAAAATTGAAATATAAACGGTAAAAAAAATAAATTACCTGGCTTCTAAAGATATTTTCAACATAGTGTTTGGTCATATTCATTTTTAAGAAACTTTTGCATTCTTCGTCAGTTAAGCAATAAGCAGATTTGCTTAGTATAACAGTGTTCTGAAACATTTTTAATAAATCCTTTTTTAGCCTTTATCATGACGTTTAAAAAAAAGAATTATAGGGACAAAAAAGGATTACATTGATTGGAAGTACAAGAGTTAAAGGTAAAAACAATAAAAGTTCTTTAATTTGAAAATGATGCAAAAATAGTGCAAGTTCTTAGCATGATTTCAATAAACTAGTTAAAAAAGTAATTGAGATATAATTCTATATCAATTATCTTAAAGTTGTATTGGAACAGAAAAAATTTGAAAACAAAAAAATATATAAAAAGATATTACTTGAAGAATGTGTTTAAAACTGTCACTGTCCCAAAGTAACAAGTCTTTAGATTTGGTTGAATTAATTCTAGATTTGATTTTGTATTGTTGTCCTACTTTAAATTCATCTATTTTTGATAACTTGATAACATTTTTAGTTACTTTGTGAATTAGGGTTGTCGGTTTGAAGTCCAAACCTACTCAATCAAAACAATTTAGACTAAATTTAATACATTTCGTAATGCATTAAGATTCTAAATTTACTTTTTTACAAAAATAATTCAATTTTTCACATTATCAAATTTTTTTAAATGTGAATCAGAGTACAGCTATTGAGAGTTTTTAACTTGCAATGTATATATTCAACAACAACAAAAACAACAACAACAACAAAAACAACAACAACAACAACAACAACAAAAACGACAACAACATCAACAACAGCAACAAAAATAACAACAACAACAACAACAACAACAACGCAGTATTTATTTCCAATTAATAATCATTTTTACGAAAGTAATAAAATAAAAAAGTAATTGTAATAATATTTATAAAAATAATCACAATAATAATGAAAAATTATAAAAATAACTTTAAAAGTTTATCAAGACAAAAATAATTAAAATAATACAATTTCTATTTATAATAATATTAAATTACAATAATAAATAAATATTTAATATTAGAATAATAGTTATAACTATAACAATAAACTGAACAATAAGCTATCGTTTAAAATTAAATTAAGCTATCGTTCTAATAAAAAAAACAATAACACCTATCGTTTCAGCGATGGTATCTGGATTCAAATCCTCTATTTTAAAATGAGACACTTCATTTTCAAACCAGACAGAAATTCTGTCCTCGTCTGATTTTATTTCCATTTTGGTTTCGCTTTAAGGTTCGGTTCCTGATATTTATCTCCAATCAATCACGTACATGCTTATCGCACCCAATAATATATCTAACTCGAGCCGCGGTAACCATATTGAATACTGGGAAAAAACTAGCAATGAAAATTTCCCGGAAATTTGCGATATTTTCAAAAAAAGTTTTCTTATAATTAAAAAAAAAAATTATAATTAGTAGGCTAAAATTTATCTCTTATTTAGACAGTTGTTATGAACAATTTTTTGATAAAATAAATAAAATCTTTGTGAAAAATACATTTCTTTTTATTTTATTTTTATTGCATTGTATTTTTTTTTTTTTTTAATTGTATTTTTTTGTTGATTTTATTGTATTTTTTTAATTTTATTTATTATTAACAACTATGATAATTTGTTTTTAAAATTTGATTAAAATTGTCTTACCATTTTATTTTGATTGCTTCGCATATGACCGCTCGGTGCCGTTGTAAATTTTGTTCAAGACAATACAAAATTTGTACCCCCATCTCTAAATGTCTATCAAAGTAGCCCACTAGTAATGGAAGCTGAAAATTTGATTTTAAATTTCGCTGATTAGTGAACCATAAGTAATACTTTGACAAAAAAATATATTCTTTGCTTGTGGTTCTTTATTATTTTATATTTTTGATTGAAATATTCAAAAAATATCCAAATACACAAAATGTAATTTTAAGCAAAATTTTCCGGAAATTTCCATCACAACAAAAAATGCAAATAAGGTTTCGAAAAAAAAAATGTTTATGTTTAAAAAAAAGACAATTACATCTACGTTATTGGTTTCAAAAACGTAGATGTAATTGAAATATAACACAGGGTTAATGTCACTTTAAATTACTTATTTAATTTTTTTTTTTTTAATTTCAATATTCAAATGTTTAGATTCCTGGTAACTGAGGGATTAAATATAAATAAATTATCAATAAATTTCTCCTAATATATGTAGATTCTAAAATTAAATAAGTTTTCAAGATTAGACAACTAAAATTTTTCCCATGTTGTCCACCTACTGCCCCACTGTTGAGCGCCTAAAAAAAAAGTTATAAGGCTGACGTGCGCCATTTTAAAAATTGATCTTTATTTGCTATTTAAATAAAAAAAAATGAAAACAGCGCTTTGAATATATTCGACATAGAATTAAAAAACACGCTAAGGCAAATGTTTTATTTAAATTTAAAGTAATGTTAAAAACAACAACAAAAAAAAAGTTTTTTTCTTATTTTTTTAAACTTATTTTTAATACAAATTGAAAATGTTTAATTTTTTTTTTCATTCAACGTCTAAATTTGACCTAAGACTCTAGGTTTTGATTTCATTAATTTTTCTGGAATCAAGCATGTTTTTCCTTACTGAGACTGAAAAACCACAAAAATATTTTGCAAAATCAGAAGTTCAGTGAAATAAAACTTTTGAGTCTTGAACACCAGAGCCCAACTCTGGAAAAATGACGGGTTGAGGTTTAATGTAGTGGAGAGGGGGAGGGGCGATAGGAATGAGTAGGGTGCGGCAGAGGTTAGGGGTGGTACATTAACTCCTTGATATAGTTTTTTTTTGAAAATCACATTTGTGATAAATATATTTTATCGATGCTTTTAAGTGTCTTTTATCATAATTATTAAGTCTAAGACACTAAACAATCTAAAGTTTGAATTTACTTAGTTAACATTGGTTAACAATAATCACTAAAAAAAATTAATAATATTGCAATGGTTTTGGCTATTTAAAAAAAATATTTACACTGTTCATATTAATAAAAGCAAGCTCGAAAAAAGAAATTTACTTTCCTCCTAGTTAATAAATTTTTTTTCTGCGAGATATCATTTCCAGCGGGTACAGAACGTTCGTTGGACGTCTTAAGGTTATTACACGGAATTGTGACGCCTATATGGCGTTGTCTTACGGACGTTTGTGCCCGCTGGGTTGAAACAATATGATTTATTGATAATTCAAAGTCAATGCTTGCAGCAAGCTCACATTCTATTAAAGTTAATGTCAATCCAAAAAGACTGTTTAGTAATTGTTGATCACAGATAACTTTTGGTCTTTAGTCTTCTGCAACTTCTATAGCTTGACTAAACTCTAATCCACCACTAGTTTCTATAATTTAATTTACTTACATATTTTGTTTCAATATTTATCAAAAGCAGATATAAAAGAAAAAGCCAAGTTGATTTTTTAGAGTATGAACAAGTGAGGAAAACATGATGTCATTTATTTCTCTATAAATAATAGATATTATAATAGAATAAATTTTAGATGTACGTATTTCATTTGTAGTTAAGTCGTCATTGATGGATATATTGATGCATGCACATCTTTGAAAGTAGGGCCGGCGCGAGTAGGGGTTAAATGGGGATGAGTTGCCATACGGGTTTTAGCTAAAAAAAAATTCTTAACACATAAAAACAAACCTAAATTGCTCCACAATGTTAAAATTAGCATATTTAAAATTTTTTTATTTTTCCCTTTATAAAAACAAGTCGTTTAGCGTTTGCAAAGTCATTGTAGTTTTATAAACATCTGTCACTGAACAGTCGCAGTAGTATTGATACGCCGAACTATTTTAAAAATCTATTGGCTGTGTACATTATGATTATAAGAGATATTTTCTTTAAAGAAAACGTTTCCGTTTTGTTCTCTGCAATAAATGCGTGCAAACTTGTAAAGCAAGTATGTAAGCGACGGCTTGTTGTAACCAAGTTTTCTATTTCCGTTTAAAACAAAAGCAGAATTTTGTAACGAAAAGCTTATATTTTAGAGGGCGCCAGATGACTAGCTAAAGGAGCACGGGGGAAGGGAGAGCAGCTCTTTCCCCAGCTCTATACTGAATCCGCCACTGCTCTGGAAATCCCATCATTAGTTCTAATATATTATTCATATTTGAATATATTATAAATAATTTTACCTCATTAAAACGCAGAAATACATTTAAAAAAATACAATATAAATATAGTTATAATAATTACAAAAATATATAGATTGAAATTAGGAATAGTGTCATATGATAAAATATAGAATCATATAGAAAAATTATGCATACTCACATGCGTACTCACACATGTATGCGTACTCAAAACATGCGTACTTACTTAATCAATAGTATCATATTTTCCAAATTACCAGAACATGAAATTTAATTTACTTTCTTATTTCTTACTTTTTATCTTCTAATATTTACTTTCTTGTTTTAGTGAGTTCCTTCTCTATTTCTTTATTTAAATGATCTCGAATCAAGCAAATAGCTGTTAATCTTTTTTCTTTGTTATCACTCCCTAAGGCTTCAACTATCAATGGAGGCTGTTGGTTTGATGATCCTAAAACAAGAATCGAGGAGTTGTGCTGCAAAGCAAAATCTACAAGACTTTTTTGGAGATAAGATTTCAAGTTTGTTTCTGTATCATTTTTCATTGGAAATTCATTATACGATGACAAATTTTTGTTTTCCACCGTATTATTTCTCACTGGCACTACTTTATATGACGACATACTGTTGTTTTCAAACATATTTTTTCTGATTGGCACTTCATTATAACATGATGAACTTTTGTTTTCAAACACATTTTTGTTCAATGTTATTCCCCTAATACCATCCCCCTGAAAAATGTCAGAATGTGTTTTTAAAAAACCTTTATCAATAACCCAGCCACCGTAGTTAAAACAACTCTGAAGATTTCCCAGTTGAACAGGTACAGAAAACTTTTCAAGCAATCCTTTTAAGCATTTAACAAAAATCGTTTCGAATCCATCATTCCTTAGACAACTCCATATTTCATCCTCTTTTAATTCAGAATGAAATCCATTTTTATTTGAATCAATATATGTGATACCATTCATTAAAGATAGCCTTAAAGCATGACTATTGCGAATAACAAAAGCCAAATTTACTTTATATTTGTTAGAACTGTGTTTTTGACAAAACTCATCAAAGGATGTCGCATTTTGAAGCATATCTTGAAAACGTGAGATTAAAGTGAGATCTTTATTAATGATGCTTATTATGTTCAAACCATCTTCTGTTCGTTGAAATATATTATTTGTTTTTCGTAAAAATATTTTTAAATCATTTCCCAAAATTGATAATGCAAAAACATCGTGTTTTTTCAGTAAAAAATTCTCTGAGATTATCCAAGGCAAACATAACGATTTAAAGGTTACATTCAAAAAAGATAAACTGATTGGAACCTTGGTTTCTTTAAGTATATATATCAAAATATTTACTAAAACGTTTTCAGGATCTAGATGTGTGTGCAATTTGTTATGTGATGATCCCACTTGTAGAGATTCAAATTGCTTTGCTAAGTCTTGGGTATAACCTGCCATTTTTTTCTCTAAAGTCAATTTATATATATATATATAATATATATATATATATATATATATATATATATATATATATATATATATATATATATATATATATATATATATATATATATATATATATATATATATAAAATATATATATATATATATATATATATAAAATATATATATATATATATATATAAAATATATATATATATATATATATATATATATATATATAATATATATATATATATATATATATATATATTTATATATATATATATATATATATATATATATATATATATATATATATATATATATATATATATATATATATATGTATATATATATATATATATATATATATATATATATATATATATATATATATATATATATATATATATATATATATATATATATATATATATATATTGAAACAATCACAAATATTTTATTTAAATACTCATCATATTTAAATATATCGTCAAATATATTTTTATTAAAGACTTTAATAAAAATATATTTGCTTATATGCAATATATATGCAAAAAATATATTTGCTTATATATATATTTGCAAAAATATATATATTTGCAATATATTTATATATATATTTGCAAAAATATATTTGCAAAATATGCAAAAAATATATTTGCTTATATAAATATATATGCTTAGAAAGATAAAAGTTTATATAACTTTAATTTAAAGTTATATAAACTTTTATCTTTCTAAGCAAAGATTCTAGGTCAAAACAGATAAGAGTCTAGATGACGTTTAATTTGATCTTCAGGTTTTAAATTTACATTTTAATTCAAACTTTTTTAACATTAAACTTTTATTTGTAGTTTTCCAAAATACACTTAACTGGTCACTATTCTTTATGGTTATTACAAATACAGCTTATATTATTGCTATACTTGTATAATGTTTATCTTGCAGATTAGGTTTATTTCACTATAAGGGAAATATTTGATTTTTATTTCGCTTTCAGGGAAAGAATTGCCTGAATGTTTCCTTATTTCTATTTTACTATTTACTATTAGGAAATGATTTACCTTAAATGTTTATCTCACTTTTATGGAAAGATTTGAGTTACTATTTTATATTGCAGTGTGGCAATATGGTCAACCATATGGTAAATACATGTTTAAGTATATTCATACATTTTTCTTCTTACTTATATCTTAAATGTATGTTTATGTATATTCATACATTTTTCTTCTTACTTATATCTTAAATATATGTTTAAGTATAATCATACATTTTTCTTCTTACTATCTTCATTATATCTTATTCTAACTGGATATTACCCATAAACCAATACCAAAGTTTATTGCTCAATGAAGATGAAAAAATGTTTGAATTGTAGGAAATAAAAATACAAAGCTACATGAAACATAAAAAATAAAAATAAAAATCTTTTTGTTCCCTAAAAAACATCATGCTGGATCTAGTAAACCCAGAGTTATAACATTGTATAAACAGTTGTGTAATACAAATCATATCTACACATTTCTTGTGTATCTTTAAGAATAATAATGTTTCTTTCTGAAAGATATATAAGATTCATATAAGACTAAGTTCAAATTCTTAAATTAAAGTTAATAATAATAATGTGTAAAAAAAATTTAAAAAAAAAATACTTGGATCTCTTTTTAAACTTTTTTCAAAACTCTTCGTATCGTATGAATCTCTTGTATTGTATGAAAACTCTTGTATCCTATAAAAACTCTTTTATTGTATGAAAACTCTTGTATTGAACAAAAACTCTTGTATCGTATGAAAACTCTTGTATCATATGAAAAGCAGCTACAATTACTAAATTAAAGCAAAATTTATTTGTTTTATTAATAAATTTTATTTATTAATAAAAAATTATGAAAAGTAAAAATTATAGTAGAGTAAAATTTTTTAAGTAAAATTTTTTTTTAGCTTTTTAGCTGAATGACAAGTCATATGAGATATAGTCATATGTTTTAGTTAATATAACAAGTGATGATAGCTCACAGCTAAAGCTGGTCTAACATTTATCTAGAGCCCTTGCCATACCATTTCCATCTAATGCATGATAAAACTTTGTTATAATGGTTATTAAATATTAGTCAAATTCAATAATAAATCTTAATTTTTCTGTTATAAATCAACAGCAGAACAGCAGCAGTAGGATCAAAATAGTTGTCATAAAGTAAGTTTAATCTCAAGGAAAGAATAATATATTATGTTAAGATGAGATTAATCTACCATTAATAAAACGTTAGAACCTAAAATCATGTGTTTACAAATATATGCCAAAAAAGGCCCTATTTACCTAATAAATTTATACATGCCTACAAATTATAATGATGAGCATCGCCTTCGTAATGATATGGGCATGTGTTCAAAAATTTAAAAATAAGACCAGTTTTAGTGAAAACTGATGCTTTGAACACAGTTATTGCTGGTGATTTAACCTGCTATAATCAGTCTAGATTAAAATAATATAAAGGCTTTTCTAATTTTGTATTAAAAAAAAAAGTGATTAAACATGTCATAACCAGCCTTAATAATCTTCAAATGTGGAATTATCCATATTAGAAGTTTGCACTTCTAATGTGAAGACTCTATAATAATATTATTGAGTTACATTGAAATATTTACAGCATAAAAATCTTAAAAACTAGAAAAACCAATATAACTCTAGAGAGTTGTTTCGGATGTGAAAAAAAGTCTTTCAGAAAATAAATATGCATAGTAACAACAAAAATGACAATTATCAGATTATCAATTTAATTTAAAACAAAAACTGTCAACAACAACATGCACAAATTATTTGAAAAAAACTCTTTATTACTATTATCTAGATAAAAGCCTTTTATGTAATAAATTTTTCAATAAATGTCTTTTTTTTAAATATATATATATATATATATATATATATATATATATATATATATATATATATATATATATATATATATATATACATATATATATATATATATATATATATATATATATATATATATATATATATATATATATATATATATATATATATATATATATATATATATATATATAAGATTTTAAAGTTTTATATAATATAACTTTAAAATCTTGATATAATTGTATAAATATACAAAAATAAACAATTAACATATTATTGTATAAAAATATAAGATAATATGAAACTATAATATATGAAACAATCTACGCGGCTCTTTTTTTTTTATAATATAAAGTAAGAGCCAAGCATAATTTATCTCAATATCCTCATACTTGAATTCCATAAAATAATGTCACCTTTTTTGATAAATGTAAATAAATCTAGGTAAGTAAAACACAATTCCGTGTTGTTATATAATAAATCCATTCCAAGAACCGATGAATTCCTAGAACATATTTTTTAAAAATGCCATTCTAAGAATTTTGTTAAGCCACGTGGTTAAGGTTCATAAAGTGCGCTCTATGCAAATAGGGTACAGGTTTTTCCGAACAAAAATTTTTAATTTGATTCAATGGACGTCTTCACAGTTCCGATAATTTCAAGCGCGCGCATATTTAACATTACGTCATGGTATTTTATGCGCAGAATCGCATGAAAACAATTATACGCATATAAATTAAGATAGTAACCTTGAAAAGAAACAGTTGTTTACATGAGATTTTTTTTATTTTTTTTCAAAAAAGACATTGAGAAATCCGTGTTGTTATTATAATTGCATTTAGGTTTGACATCACTTTTATTTAACCATAAAAAAATTTTGGAGCTTTTAAGAGTAAACATAGATTTGAATTGAGAGTTCAGAAGTTCAAGTATATTAAGTATTATTTTTGTAGATAAATAATAATTCAAACATATTTTTTAGGAACCATAGGTTGCCAGTAAAGTAGAAAATGTGATGTCTTGCGTAAAGAGACTGTTTTGGTAAATGTTCCAGAATTCATAATCGTTAGAATTTAAAGTTTTTTTAAAAATTGCGTCATCGACTTAAATTTAAATTAAGATTTAAATTTAATGTGTAAATGTAATATATAAATTACGTTCAAAGCGTAAGTTTTTTTTTATAAAAATATAATACTTTTTATAATTTCTTATTAATAGCAATAATGATAATAATAATAAAATATTTGATATATTATATAAACGAGAATATATATCTTTTAAAACCGAAGCAAACAAATAGATTAAAAATTTAAACAGGTGCAACGCAGATTGATTTTGAGAATTATAGGAAGAATAAGAATAAAAATAACAATAACAAAATAGCTTAAAGGACTCGTTTAAATAAAATAAAAAAGTATACGCGTTATATATAATACACATATATAAATAATAGGGAATAATGATACATAGATCTAATTTTGTTTTTGTTTTGTTATTTAGGTGCCCCAAGAAGACCTAACGGTCTTATCACAGAGCACCGCGGAAGTGCATTTAACTAGGAAGTTCACGCCCCCTTCTTTACCGTGACGCAAAAATATGTCTAAAGCTCGTTTCAAATCTGGATCTCTTGCTTATAAAGCAAGCGCTGTAATCACTGCGCCACGGCCGCACATATTCTAAACCCCGAAATCCTGTTCCGGTATAAACGTAAATCTGAACTGTCGGGATTTTCTGCTCGGCCAATGGGAATCGTGGGATTTTATACGTGACTACAAAGGATACAATAGAAAATAAGATTGAGGGAACCAATGGGATAAAAGAGATAAAGAGCGCCTGCGCACCCCCAGCAAAGAGGACAATGTCCATGCGCACCCCCAGCAAGGAGCGTAGTGCGCAGACGCCGAATGTGATTAGAGTACAAGTGCGCAGGCGCAGAACGTGATCATAATGTGATACCTCAGTTAAATAAAAATGATAACTATAATCTTAGAGCGAATATGTTGAACACATATAAACTGCCAAGGATAATAAATAAATATTCAGAATACAGCATTTTATATAGAGGTCCAAAAGTATGGTATATTTTTCAAAAAGGGTTCAAAGGTACGGTGAGTTCGTTAAGTTCATTCAAGTTTTTAACAAAAATGAAATCTTTAAAACCGGTGAAACAATTTTGGTTAATAATGCTTTGGATAAATTCTCTTAAATAAGTTTTTGTTTTGTTTCTACTTTTGTTTGTTGCTTGACAATTTTTATTAGCGGATTACGCATTTTATTATGATATTTTATTGACATTTTTATTTTGTATGTCATATTACGATATTTTAATTAAATCTTGTTAAAGGGGTTCTATGAAAAGATTGCGATGACGTTCTGTCATCCTCATCTTCTTTGACGTTCTGTCATCCTCATCTTCATCCCTATCTGTTTTACTTATTTTGTTAAATTTTATATTATGTAGATTATGTAGTAGAATCTGTAAAATTCTTATGTTATGTAAACAGAGTAAAAAAAAAAAAAAAAAAAAAGCAAAAAAAAAAAGCAAAGAAAACGTGCAAGGGAGTGCGCAGACACAGAACGTGAAAAGAACGTGATCAGAACGTGATACTCCCGCAAAGAAAACGTGATCAATAACGTGATACCTCCCGCAAAAAAGAATAAAGTGCAGATGCGTTACCTCCAGCAAAGAGCATAAAAAAAAAGCATATAAAACAGTATTTTAGCAGAAAAATGAATTCGTATGTCAATGGTGAAAGCGAAATTATTCGACCAAGAACGACCAAGTCAGTAAGGAAAAGCTCATGTTAAGTGAACTCTCCAAGTCTTTGTCGGTCCGATTAACAGCACTATTGCACCTTCTAACATCGTGTGCAATTCTGTCTGCTTTCTTTATGCAATCTTTCTAACACGACTACTTCTGCCTTTCACTCTAACTTATCTTCGTTCTTTTCAAACTCACCTTACTCTTAGTCCGTAGAGCGGATTATGACATTCCTTTAGGAGCCGAAACTAGTCTCTGCGGACCGAGGTAATGTGGCCTCCACAAGGCAATTAGCTGGTGGAGGATAAACCACAAAACGTCAATGGTGAAAGCGAAATTATAAAAGCGGAAGCGTATGTCAATGGAGAAAGCGAAATTTTGAAAGAGCAAGTAGGATTTTGGTGTAAAACTAAAAACAAAATATTTAAATTTTTAAAACCAAAAGGACAAAATTATTTGTAAAACGTATTTGTTTTACAAAGCTTATCAGATACTAGGTGGTCCTCTAGAAGTGATGCCACAAGAGCTTTCTATGCAAATTACTTACAAATTTGTCAAGCATTATGTGAAGTCACTAACAGCAAACATCAACCACCATCAGCTGTTCATGAAGCTAAATCACTGGTTAAACATTTAGACTATTTTGAAACTGCGTTAATGTGTGTGATTTGGAAAGATTTACTTCAAAAGATTAATATTGTCAATAAAGCCTTACAGGAGCCGGGTATTGAGCTGTGCACCATCATTAAACTGTACAATGGTCTCATGCAGTATTTTCATGATACACGCAGTAAGTTTGAAACATTCGAAGGCCAGATAATTTTTAAAATTAGTGTTTCAAATTTTTTTTTTAGTTTATTAGTTTATTTCGCCGTTAAAAATATTCACAAAGTACAACAATATAAAAAGTACAATTGACTGGAGCAAGAAGAAGGCATAAAATAGCCTTATCACCGAGCCCCAATAGTAACGCAAATAAATATTCGTAATATATAATAATCCGTAGTATATAAGCAAAAGCATTTAAAAAAAGACAAATTTAAAATGTTAAGAAATAAAATTAAAAAGTATTAAAATAATTGAAAAAGAAAGAAAAAGAAATGATTAAAATATAGTAATAAAAATGACAAAAATTTCCTGTTTTTGGTTATAAACTGGATGTGATTCGATATATATATTTGTATATATTATTTTCTTTCAAAATAATTCAAATAAAAATTCTGTTCCAATATTATAAAATATGTCAAGAAAATTGTAAGCAAATTTAAGAGAATATATATTTTCAATGAAAGTATGATAAAGACATTGAAATTCTTAATATTGTTAAACGGTCTAGATTTTTAAATTTATGGTGCTAATTTAATTTAATAAATTTTAAAAGTGACAGAGAAGATCTGCTATATTAAAATCCGTAAGACTAAATAACGTCTTAATTTAGATTTGAATTGCGGAAATGTTATTTCTTTAATATTAACAATATGCTGAAAGTTTTTCCACAAAATTGGACCCCGGTACTGAATAGAATAAGAATATAACTTTAGATTATACTTTTGAGTTACAAAGTTATTTTTTGAGAACTTGGTGGGCTATTTATGGCTTACTTCTATAAAATAAGGATAGAATATTGCTGGAGACAGTCCATGTTTTATTTGATACATGAACTGTATGACAAGGAATATGTTAATTCTAAACACATTTAATGCATTGAGTTTACGTAGAAGTGGCTCACAAGGCACGGTTCTTTTTACTCCAAATGCAATTCTACATGCATGTTTTTGTTTAGTATAAATTTTCTTTAACTTAGCGTAGCTGTTGCTTTGTGACATTTCCTTTTCAAATGGTATGGAGCAAATTCCTTTTCAAACGGTATGGTTTCCTTTTTAAATGGTGACAAATTGTGACATTTCCTTTTCAAATAGTAGAAGCAATTATTTATGCCTTTTTTGTCATTGTAATACCTGAAGCAGGGCCGTTTTTGTAGCGTCGTAGGCTCTAGGCACTTTGCATAAAAATGTAGCTGTAGGCCTTTCATTCAATTTAAATGTCATGTACACGTTATTCAATTTACCTTATTTTTTAGTTTTTGAACGTAGTCGTTAATGGGCCTACAGTTGCTGTTTGTTTGATAATTCTGTATCTGTACAAATATTATGCCTTAAAGAAATTAAATTGTAACCATTTCATTAATTGTATTTCTCTCACTATCATTACTTTTAGCCATTAAAAATTCAGCAATTTATGGTTTGTTATTTGTTTTAAACCTTTGTTTAAATTTATCAATAGTTTACATTTATTTAAAAATGAAATTCTCAGCATTCCACGTATTATTTTAAAAAGTATGATTTTATTTGGTAGGTATTTTATTTGTTATGATTACGTTTTTGTAAATAATTAATAAGTTTTGTTAAATGTAATGCTTTATGGAATATATTTAATGTTTCCCCCTTCTTTAAATGGGTTAACATATTTTATTTTTATGTTTTATGTCTATTCTATATTGAATATTTATTATGATTTTCAGAAATTCAAGTCATGTCCGATGGCGATAGCACAAGAGAAAACACGAGTCTGGCTATATTAAACGGCAGAAAAAACAAAGGAAAGAGGATGCATTAAAAAAAATGAAAGGTTCTTTGCTAAAATATGTTAATAAAGTAGATGCTACTTCTGGCAATGACAGGAATAGTAATACCATTGCACAACCACATTGTTCCACACTGTGGAACAATGTGGTTGTGCAATGAGTTTTACAAGTG